CCCTAGTTAGGCTTATTTCTGGGATGCAAAGCAAATAAAATGTAATTAATGAAAAAATGTATTTCTATAAGCATATTTGATGCTATTTTGAATGCGATTACTTCCCTGACTTTTTTTGGGGGGGTTAATATTTGTTGGTGTTTAGGAGTGTTACTGATTTTTATGTGTTAATTTTGTTTTCTGCTACTTTGCTGAATGTATTAATCATCAGTATGAGTTTTATGTGGAGCCTGTGGATATACAGCAACAGAGGAAACAAGGAAATCAGAATATAATATCCAAAGATGATATAAGTGTCTACAGTTTTAATGTCACACACACACACACACACACACACACATACACAGACATATGCACTCATCCACAAACAATGCTAAACAGAATAGAGGTCTAAGCACAACATTGACAACCATGTTGACACCTGCTATCTATGAAAACAAAGACAAAATTAAATCTAAAGTAAGCATGCATCCATAGTACAAGGGAGGAAATTTTCACAAGGAAGACACTAAAACAAAACAAAACAAAACAAAAAAAAAAAAAAAAACAAAGGACTACGGGAAGAAAGACAATTCAGAGTTATCAACATAGTATGTATACAATTTCTAGATTTTCAGAGAACTAGAGACAGAATATGAAAATGTGTTACACTTAAAGAAATGCTCAACGTCCTTAGCCATCAGAGAGATGCAAGTCAAAATGACCCTTAGATTTTACCTCACACCCACCAGAATGGCTAAGATGAAAAACTCAAGTGACAACACATGCTGGAGAGGTTGTGGAGAAAGGGGAACCCTCCTCCACTGCTGCTGGGAATGCAAACTTGTACATCCACTTTGGAAAGTAATCTGTCACTATCTCAGACAATTAGGAATAGTAACTCTTCAAGATCCAGATATACCACTCCTAGGCATATATCCAAAAGATACTCAAGTACACAACAAGGACATTTGCTCAACCATGTTTGTAGCAGCTTTATTCATAATAGCCAGAAGCTGGAAACAACCAGATGTTCCTCAGTTGAGTAATAGATATAGAAAATGTGGTACTTTTACACAATGGAATACTACTCAGCAATTAAAAACTAGTAAATCATGAAATTTGCAAGCAAATGGTGGGACCTAGAAATGATCATCCTGAGTGAGGTATCCCAAAAGCAGAAAGGCACACAGTATATACTCACTTATACAGACCTATAAGAGAATAAACATACTGAAAACTATACATCTAAAGAAGATAAACAAGAAAGAGGACCCAGGGTAAGATGATCAATCCTCACTTAAAAAGACAAATGGGTAGGAATTGAGCATTTTAGCAAGAGTCCTCCCTCTTGATTAGTTTCTTTATGTGTACAGATTTTCGTAGGTTTATTCCTATCCAGGAAGGCAAAGAGGATGGACATCAGAAGAAAGAGAAAAGAGGGAAAAAGTCAGGAGCCTGACACAGAGGACTCTGAAAGGCTCTGCCCTGCAGACTATCAATGCAGATGCTGAGACTTATGGGCAAACTTTGGGCAGAGTGCAGGGAATCTTAGGAAAAAAAGTGGGAAACAGTAAGATCTGGAGAGGACAGGAACTCCACAAGGAGAGCAACAGAACCAAAAAATCTGAGCACAGGGGTCTTTCCTGAGACTGATACTCCAACCAAGGATTATGCATGCAGATAACCTAAGACTCCTGCACAGATGTAGCCCATGGCAGTTCAGTATCCAAGTGGATTCCATTGTAATAGGAACAGGGACTGTCTCTGACATGAACGGATTAGCCTGCTCTTTAATTACCTTCCCCTGAGGGGGAAGCAGCATTACCAGGCCACAGAAGAAGACACTGCAGCCACTCCTAATGAGATCTGATAGTCTAGGATCAGAAGGAAGGAGAGGAAGACCTCCCCTATCAGCAGACTTGGGGAGGGGCATGCATGCAGAGGGTGGAGGAAGGGAGGGGTTGGGAAGGGAGAAGGGAGGGAACCACAAGGGAGATACAAAGTGACTAAAGTGTAATTAATAAACAATAAAAAAATAATAACTGGAAAAAACAAAAAAGACTTAGGAGCAAACAAGTAACAGGACAGGAGCCTACCACAGAGGGCCTCTGAAAGACTCTACCTAGTAGTGTATCAAAGCAGATATTAAGACTCATAACCAAACCTCTGGCAGAGGGCAGGGAATCATAAAAAAAAAAAAGTGTATGGGGGGGGGTAATTAATATGACCGGGAGAGGACAGGAGCTTCACAAGGACCAAATATATTTAGGCACAGGGGTCTTCTATGAGACTGTTTCTCCAAACAAGGACCATGTATGGATATAACCTAGAACCCCTGCATGGATGTAGCCCATGGTACCTCAGTATCCAAGTGGGTACCCTAGTAAGGGGAACAGGGACTGTTTCTGACATGAACTCAATGGCGGCATCTTTGACATCCCCCTCCCCCCGAGCGAGGAGCAGCCCTGCTTGGCCACAGAGGGGGACTTTGCAGCCAGTCCTGAAGATACCTGATAAACCAGTATCAGATGAAAGGGGAGGAGGTCCTCCCCTATCAGTGGACTTGGAAAGGGGCAGGGAGGAGATGATGGAGGGAGGGTGGGATTGGGAGGAAAAGAGGGACCAGGATACAGCAGGGATACAAAGTTAACAAACTGTAACTAATATTAAAGAAACAAAATAAAAAAGGAGAACAAAAAGAAAGTGTGTTACTCGTTTAGAAAAACATTTAAACAAAACTTCTAAAACCTCTGAAACCTCAAATTTATGTGATAACAAATAGCTTGAATTGAGAACACCACAAAGAGGGTTATCTGCTGAAACATAAATGCCTAGAAAAATGTTTTTTGCAGCTTCAGCCACCAAGATATACAAAATACTATAGATGTGGTCTAAGGCTGGGGTTGGGGTGGATTCCATTCAAGAGGACAGCAGGACTTGCCAGCCACATCCACATGGAAGTAGTGTTGCCCTCATGAGTGATACAGGATTAAGATAAGCTTAGGATTCTGACTGCTGATCAATGGATAAAGGAAATGTGGTATGTATATACAAGTATGTTTTATTCTGCCATAAAGGATATGAAATCATGCCATTTCAAGGAAAATGTATACAACTGGGGACCTTCACATTGAGTAAATAACTCAGACTGTGGGAGACAAGTACTGACCGTCTTCTCTCATGTGTATCAAGCGTGGGTGGGTCCCAGCATTTTCACAGAAACGGAAAATGTCATATGTTAATGAAAGTGGAAGCATATCTGGGAAGGAAGATGTGCAAGAAGGGAAAGTGGGGAACAGGAGGGTTATGGTCAAAGTATATACATACATACAAACATTTTCATGAAACACAATATTCCACTGTATACAAAGACAGATGCCAATAGTTTTCAAGATCTACACAGATTGAAAAGCTGTCATTCTTTATAATTTTCACACTAGAAGCATCAAAATGTACTACATCAGTTGACTTGAGAGAACAACAATTTGCCATACATGCTTAGAGTGGGCTACCTAGCAATACAAAGAAGAAGTGCATGAATATAACTTATGCTAGTTGTGCTGAGCTTCTGGGGCAGAAGATGATGCCAACGGCAATGTCTTTCTTCTGAAGTGTTGGTGAAGCATAAACACAAGATGTGGTAGAGGCTCTGTTATAGTTTTTTTTGGGGGGGGAGGAAGGATCAACTACTTAGCACTGCAGTTCTGATGTAGTTGATAAAATATACATTCAGAAAAGATGTTTTTAAATCATGAAGTGATGTTCTTCTAAAGACCGAGCTTTAATATGCATGAATTATCAAACAAAAACTTCCTAAAATTTGTATTTCTCACCAGACTATAACAGAAGGCCTTCTAAATAAGATAAAGCTATTATATTTTTCTTTTCAGTAATAACAATATGCTTAGTATTAGTAGCATTTAAAAGCTGTCTGTTATTAATATCAACCTCTCAACTTTTAAATATGTAATCATACATATGTATGTAATTTATATATGTAATAGAAACAACATTGTAGAGGTAAATGAATAGACATTGTGAGGAAAAATTCAATCAAGGTATTTTTATTCTAGTTTGGCAATTAACTTCAGAAAATAAACCAACATTTTCTATAAAGTGTTAGTGCATATACCAAAGAAATACTTATGTGGAGTGGAATTAAATGAATAAGAGGTAATACTGTCAACAACTTCTTTCAATCTTTTTAATTATTGGCTGTGTCTAATGTGAATATATTATATAATATGAATATTTTTAAGGATTCTATCTCAAATAATTATTAACGAACACTAATTTTCTTATGCATAGAACTTTGGGAGAAATGAACTAACTCATTTGAAATGTTAACAACTTGAAGGAAGAAGCAGCCATTCCATAGATTCTTCATTAGTTATAGCATTTGAACCACAGATGTGAGAGTAAACACTTTTGGTGTATTTTCGTGAATGTAAACAACTTCTTAAACTCAACAGTGTATAACTGTCTATATTATCAGCCATGCCAATCTTCATTTGGTAGCAAAACCAGGCAAGCCAGAAGTGAAATATTTCCTTTCCTTAAATCATGGAAGTTATCAGGTACTGATAATCTGCCTTCAAATGCACTTGTGAACTGTATTATTGTGCATCAGAAGAGGTGTTTCTAGTGTTAAAGAGATGGTGCAGCCATCAAGAGCCCTGGATGGTCTTCTAGAAGCCCTGTGTTCAATTTTCATCACCTGGAGTTTGGCTCACAAACATCTGTAAATGCAGTTCACACCAGGGTTCCGACACCCTCTCCTGCCAACACCCTCTACCGCCCTCCACAGGTGCTAGGCACACGTGTGGTCCACAGATACACATGCAGGCAGAAGCTCTGCACATGCAATAATAGAAGTAAATAATTTTTGAAAGAAAAAAAGCATTTCTTAACAAAATGTTACTATGAATTATTTATCATCAGTAAACTTTCATGGATTAGACGTGTCATTGAGTATTTAAGACAAGTTTTAAAAAAAAAGTGTTAGTGGCAAACCTTACCACGCCAATGGAAAAGTAGTTGTTGATGATGCTGTAAGGCACAGGGTCTCCTTTCTCGTCCTTGTCGTTGGGGGTGACTTCAAACTTCCACCTGTCCAGCATGATTTCTGTGCTGCTTTCAATGTCTCTTAGGATCTTCATTAGGTTTTCACCTTCATAGCCTAATGAAAGATGTTATGGTGAGACAAAATATACACCAGCTAAAGGGAGTTACGTTTGTATGTGTCATATGAATTACCCTGAGGCCAATCAATGCACATTAATGCTAACTTTGATGTAAATTAAGAATTGACTATAATCTTGTACTTGCACCAAATTTTATCCCTAGTTTTCATTTGCAACACGTTTCTTCCTTGTATAACAACATTTGCAACACATGTTTCTTCCTTCCATGTATAAATGTTCAGGTTACGCAGTCACCAGCAGTGTTTCTTACACACATCCTTCTGCATTTTTGCATCAACGCAGTAAAAAGGAATTCACCTTTATTCTCAGTCCTGAACTTCCTTTCTAAGCATCCTTTTACAGAAAAAAAAAATGGCACATTCCACCTTATTGCTGAAGTCACAAACTGAGTTGTCATGTTAGACTTTCCATCTGTCCCTTTTCTTCACGTTTCCTTCTAGTGACAAAGAGAAATTTCGAGGAAAATAAACTGCTCATTTTTAGCATATTTTACTCAGTTTCATAATCTATCTACTCATCATGCACCATTTGCTTTCCAGATATCTTGCTTTTATGTCTTTAGCATAGTTTCAACTCAGAGGACACTTCTTCTGGAAGCCACCTCAACATATAGGATCAGATGCCCCTGTGCACAAAACTACCCTTTCTTAAAATAAGTACACTGCATTATATTTGTTACTTAGTTTATTTTTTTTATCACTACAGACCTCCCTTGCCTATTGCCAAATCTATGCTTTAATTGATTAGCTCTAGACGATTAATGTGCATCTCTCCAATATTGACTTGATATTATATTCTCTTACATTTGTCTGTGAGTGTGTACCATCCAGTTAGGACTGTAGACTAACCCATGTTTTTATGTAAGACTCTTAAACTCTCTCCAGAGTAGCTGACTCACCTCCCCAATCTCCGATTTGCTAGGAGAAGTCAAGGAGATAATGCAGAAAATGTCCTTAGTATCTGAGTCTTAAGTGATGATGGTAAAACATTAATACATTTGAGCTGACAAAAGGCAAGGCATAGAGATGTGGGCAGCGCTTCAGCACAGGGCAGAAGCGGAGGTAACCCATATTGAAGTGTTCAGGATTTGGAATGCCACATGCAGACACTGCTGATCAGGCATGGGGCAGGAGCACACTCACAGTTAGTGGAACAGGAGCACAGGTCATAAAATAAGTTACAGCAGCCATAGAAGCAGAAAGGCTTAGGTGTCCGAGGTACAAGGGGGTCAACATGTGTGGAACATGCAAATGCAGAAAGGACAGCAGACCTGTCCCAAGGCAAATCACTCAGGCCCAGCACTTCCAACACCACAGAAGATTTGGACTGAAGGAAAGACCTGGAGGTGACTCAAGAAAAAGTACTTGACACCTAAATTCCACGACATATTGTGGAAATTATATTGTGGGGAAGAGCCCGGGGATGATGCAGGGTTAGATGTCAAGGTACACAGATTCCTCTCATAGGAACAGGGTGGGGTGGGGCTGAAATTGTTCCAGAGCTGTCCCAGGATAGGATGCACAAGCACAGAGCTTGCAAAGAAAAGAACAGAATTTGAGAATATTAACAAGGGATAACAATCAGATAATTTAGTAAAGGTCATTGACTAATTTGAAGAAAAAAAAACAGATTATGGGAATGTTTTAGAAAAACAAAATTATAAATCTTTAAATTACTGCATAGAATAGGAAAAAGAATAATATATCAGAGACATAGAAAATATTTCGAGTGAAAGAACATTTTCTAAACATAGAGAAAGTGATGCCTATAGACACACAAGAGATATATAGATGAAATAAGAACTGAAAGGAAACTACCCATGACATTTTATACTAAAACACCAAAAATATAGAACAAAGAAAAGATTTTGAAAGCTGTAGAAGGTGAGGAGGAGTTACTTTTTAAGGCAGGTTTATAGAGTAATAGCTGATAAAGCAACAGAAACCTTTAGAGACAGAGGATAGAAACTGCTAAGCAAGAACATTGTACCTAACAAAACTATCTACTAATTGATGGCTTTACATCAAGTAGTCATTCATTAAAAAGATAAAAACATGATCAAATCTTAGCCAAATGACTACAAGAAAGGTTACAAATTAATAAAACTAACAAAAGAAAAAAATGGATACATACCAAAGATGCCAGTGAAATTAGAAAGTTCTAAAGCAACACCATAAACAATTTTACACCATTAAAATGGGCTATATAAAGAAATGTATAAATTCCTTAACGCATACAACGTGCCAAAATTAAACCAAGATAAAATAAATAATTTGAAGAAATTAAATAACAATGATGAGGCTGAAATAGCCATAAAAATTCTCCCCTACCCATACACACAAAAAGCCCAAACCAGATGGGTTTCCCTGCAGAATTCTACCAGAACTTCAAAGAAGAAAAAATAATTAGGAAACTGTAATTATTCCAAAACACTGAGAAGGAAGGAGAGAATCTGTTTCTGAAAGTAGTCCCCTGACCTCCACATATGTGTGGTTGTATGCTTGTGAATCCTCATGTGCGAACTCACGCAAACACACGCACACATACACAAGATGGGGAAGAGACAGGCAGACAGACAAACAGAAGTTTAGTAAAATAAAATACCTGAGAATACATCTACCCAGTGAAATAAAATAAAAAGTAGAGAGGAAGACACAGCTGGAAAAAAGGTTTAAGCATTGATGTGTTATGGGAAGGAAAAACTTACGGGCTGGGAGGAGAGTTAACCAAAATGACAGTATATCCAGAATCCGTACAGAAACATACTATTTTTTTTCTTATGTTGGTCAAAGATTTTCAGTCAGAATACTATATAGAGAAAAATATGGATATTAAAGGTAAAATAGGAAAGTCTGATATTATATATACACTCAATATTGGAGCTCCTGAAATATTTTAAGCAAATAGTAACAGAAATATCTCCAGGAATGCTCCATGTGGTCTTAGAAAAAGTGTGCACTGTGCCACTGGGTGGAAAGTGTGCCATGATTGTTGGGTTCACTTCATTAACTATGTTATTTAACTCAGGTATTTTTGGACTGGTTTTGTTTGATCCTGCCATTGCTGAAAGAAGAGGAGACCAGCCTGTCTTACAATTGCATTTAAAAACACAAAATTGGAGGGCTCAGTCAAACACATCACAAAAATAAAGAGGGGTGATCACACTAGAGGTTTAAGTACAGTGCAAAGAAGACAAGGGAGGGAAAGGTAGATGTTCAGTTATGCAAAGCTAGGTGTGTGTTAAATAGCATATGGAAATCTACTGGTTTGTGTGTAAATTAAAATAAGTTGTAGTAGCCGGGTGTGTGTGGTGGCACATGCGTTTAATGTTAGCGCTCATGGAGGGAGAGCCGGGCAGATCTTTGAGTTTGAGGTGAGTCCAGGACAGCCAAGCCAAGAGAAACCATATATACATATATGTATCTTTTATTATTAAGTGGACAATGCTAAAGGACATGACTTATGACATGAAAATCTCATTTCCAGGAGAGGGATATCTCCTCACAGTTACTGTTCAGGGAAGCCTCAGAAGTCCCCCAAACAGTGCACACTACTGAAGATTGTCAATTGCCCTCCATAATCAATAAACGGATGGCGAGAACATATTGTTGAAAACAGCACAGTTTTTGGATTACTAGACATACAGACATTAATTTTGGACTGAAACAGAAAATGTCATCTCTTCTGGGTCGTAGCACCAGAGAGTTCTCTGCAAGGCAGATGGAGGGAGGAAAGACCTCAGTGATGTGCCTCAGGCCCGGGCCCCCCATGCTATAGCATCGACAAGCCTTGCATGATACAGAATCAGTGCTGTTATGGTGGTGGCTAGATGCTTTCTAGATAGAGTAGAGGCTTGTCCTGTAGGAGGGAATTCATGCTTAATACGATAAACACAACAGAAGACCACAACTGGGAAGGTTACAGCCCAGGAAACTTACTATTCCTGTTTTGCTAAACAGACATGTCAAATTGTCTTCAAAATACTTGCATTCATCCCCATAGCTTGGTGCTGCTCTCGTCTTGGTCAGCAAAGCCTCTTTTTGCAGTGGGTTGTGGTTAATGCAGAGACATATGCCTGGACTAATTAAGTCAATGGGCCACACAAAGTATATAAAGATGAAAGGGGAAATTGTTGGGATGGTCTTCAGGAAGAATGGAAGGTGGCAGTGAGGACGGGTATAACCAAAATACATGTACTAGATTCTCCAAGAATAAATAAGACTATTTTAGTTAACATTACTATGTAAAATAATCTCTCAGTCTCTGTCTTTCTTTACCATACAATAAGCACATGCACAAATGCACGTACGGTTAAATATTCCAAAACCGATAGCCTGAGTTGAAACGTTTTGAATAGTTTCTGTCTCCAACCTTTGCCATCTTAATAATTTATTTGTTTAACAAGAAAGTGCCAGCAGCTGCGACCAGTACTTATATCTAGCAGCATGTGTGTTACTATAGAACTCGCTTGTTTAAAAGAAAAGGGAAGAGGCATCCTCAAACACAACCATATCTAAAGGAGAATACATTGCATTTAAGATAAACATGTTCAGTCGCCAACACTAGAAATTCCACTGTTGGTGCCCTTCATATCTCATGCTGGATTTTCAAACTAAGCACTATTGAATAGATAGAGCAACAGTTAGAAGGAATAGTAACTACATTAGAATTACTGTGTCCTATCTTAAAATATATTGTGTAATATATAATTTTAAAGTATAAATATTAACAATATGCTTATAATGATTCACTAGCAAACCATAGAATAGTTTGAACTAAAATATGTGGAAACATAAGAAAATGGCTGCAAATCAACATAGTTCACTGATGTTATTTGAACAGATTATTATGTAAATGAACATCATTTAAATTTTGTATATAAATTAATTTTTTTAAATATTTTTTTTCACTTTATCCCAGTTGTAGCCTCCTCTCTTATCTCCTTCCAGTCCCACTCTCTCTCTCTTTTCCTCCCAACCTTTTCTTCTAGTTCATGGAAATGGGGAGTTCTCCTCCCCTACTATCTGACCCAATCCATCAAGTCCCATCAAGACTGCCTGCATCCTCTTCCCCTGTGGTCTGGCAAGGCCACTCCGCCAGTGGGGAAGTGATCAAAGAGCAGGCAGCCGAGTCCATGTCAGAGAAAAGCCCCTGCTCCTCTTATTCAGGTACCTACATGGAGACTGAGCTGTCTGTGGGCTATATCTGAGCAGGGGGTCTAGGTCCTCTCCACATGTGGTCCTTGGCTGGTGCATCAGTCTCTGCAGGACTCCCTGGGCCTAGATTTGTTGGCTCTGTTGGTCTCGTTTTGGAGCTCCTGTGCCCTCTGTGTCCTTTTATTCCCCCATTATTCCATAAGGCTCCCTGAGTTCTGTCCAAATTTTGGCTATGAGTCTCAGCAACTGCTTCGATCCCCTGCTGGGTGGAGTCTTTCACTAGCAAATCATAGATTAGTTTAAACTAAAATATGTGGAAACATAGGTAAGAAAATGGCTGCAAATCAATATATTTCACCGTTGTTATTTGAACATATTATTATGTAAATGAACTACTTTCAAATTTTAAGAAAAATAGTAATTACTATGATTTTTTTGCAGATAACTCAAAATGCACACTGAACATGGAAATTAAATAATTTTAAATTGGCTACCTCAGTTAGGTGTTCTACTGATTCTGTTGAGTAACCTCATGCTCATAGTTGTTGACCAACATTCTCAGTGTTATACATCTTGTGAGAAACAGTCATCCTTGCACTTGCAAATAAGCCCTCACAATTTAGTCTTTTAGAGACTAAATTTATTTATTTCCCATCTACTACACGGCTGGGATACAGAGTTAATAAAATGTAACTGATAAGAAAAAAATAAAATTCAAAAAAAAAAGTTGAGAATGAGAGTGGGCATCTGTCCAATTCCAATTTTCAAGAAATATTCTATTTCCATTTTTTTTTTTAATGGTTGAGGAGAATGTTTGTTGTAGATGTGAGGGATACTGAGCCAGAATATAGTAAGCACATTGAGAATTCGTCTCTAGTCTGATCTTTGAATGTGATGCAACCCTTATTTCATCCATCAATAACTTTCTTTATGTGGTTTTTTTATGAATCTGATACACACACACATGCAATCATATATACGTATATATGTATGATTCTTTATTCAATTTGAGATTTAAGTCAATTGATAATTATAAAAAATAATATTTTGAATTTCTAAATATCAAAACATTTTTTTTAAAACATCAAATGTATGTAGCAGAAGATTATGGTCCTACTGTAAGTCGCAGTGTAGATTTCTTCGCTTAAATCAGTAAACACATGAAAACTGGTGAATACAACATCTTGTAATGATTATATCTTTATCTCTGCCATGTCCTCTTACTATAATGATATTTTGAAAATTCCAAATAGAATATATGCTGTTTTTAATTTAGCTTTCAATTCTTTGTAGCAAATATAACAGTTGAATGGATGTCCATGCAATAAAAGTTCTCAACTTTGCTGTAAATCAGTTACTTTAGGAATTTTTTTTTTCCAAATGACAATTGTCTGCCTGAGTCCCATCCCAAGGGATTTCCATTCAGCACACTGAGGGTAGGGTCAACCATTGTATTTTTAACAAGCTCCCCAAGGGTTTCTGATTCACACTGTCTTTAGAGATTGTTTTCAATCTCCAAGTGTTTTTCGATACAGAAACAATTTAGAATTTAATTATTGCTGCTTTAGCACAATCTAGAGTGGCCTGGCAATCCATGGGTAACTATCAGGGCTCATCAACATCTTTTAGCTCCACCCTGAAAAACCGTCTCTATGTGCACACCTATTCATCTACCACCTCACTGTTGGTCGCATAAGAAGCTCCTTACCACAGAGTCCTTGGACCCTGAACTTTGTTCACTGTGCTTGTGAAGCCCACACCCAACCTTATGGGATCTCATCACCATCGTCCCACTAGTGTTCTCCTCTACATGAGCAAGGGCTTTTCTTCACTGGAAGTCTTAACTGTTGCACATGACTTCATCTGCAATTAGAATTTCTATTGTTTTTCCTTCCAATTCTCATTCTTATATACCAAGTCTACAGCACAATGGTTAACATAATGTAAATTCAAAACAATGCTACTTAGTGTTGTCGTTCTCGGGAAAGTCACTCATTAGTGTTTACGTTTTGTTTTTAGTTTTCTTCTTATTTTCATCACATTGGTCAGAAAGTCGGTGTAGAAAATAACCTTTTGGGCTGGAGAGATGGCTCAGAGGTTAAGAACACTCACTGTTCTTCCTAAGGTCCCGAGTTCAATTCCCAACAACCACATGGTGGCTCATAACCATCTATAGTAAGATCTGGTATGCAGGCAGAATGTTGTATAAATAATAAATAAATCTTAAAAAAAGAAAAATTTATAAAAAAAAAGAAAATAATCTTTTTGTCCATTGTTTACTCCTAACCCTTGAACATGCTTCCGATTTAGGCTGTAATAACCTCTATCTAATTTCTATAGTAGAAGATAATAATAGCAAATTAAAATATGAATATTGCCTTAAAGTTCTAAATGTGTGTCTTATTTTCTAAGCAAGAAAAGCCCAAACCAGGGATGTTTGAAAACTTGCCCTTCCCAGACCAAATCTGTAGTTGATATTTAAATTAAAGCTCATCACCCAATTGAGACTTCTTTCTTTATGTATTTTATTAATTACAGTTTATTCACTTTGTATTCCCCCTATAGCTCCCTTCCTCCTTCCCTCCCAATTCCACCCATTTCTACCCTTCCTCTTCCCCACCTCTACCCTTCCCCCAGTCCACTGATAAGGGAGGCCCTCCTCCCCTTCCCTCTGATCTTAGTCTATCAGGTCTCATCAGTAGTGGTTGCATTGTCTTCCTCTGGATAAACATACTGGAATCTGTACACCTAAGGAAGCTGATCAAGAAGGAGGTCTCTGGCTAAGATGCTCAATCCCCATTCAGAAAGGCAAAGAGGATGAACATCGGAGGAGGGAGAAAACAGGGAACAGGACAGGAGCCTACCACAGAGGGCCTCTGAAAGGCTCTTTCCTGCAGGGTATAGAGGCAGATGCTGAGACTCATAGCCAAACTTTGAGCAGAGTGTGGGGAATCTTATGAAAAAAGTGGGAGATAGTAGGACCTGGAGAGGACGGGAGCTCCACAAGGAGAGCAACAGATCCAAAAAGTCTGGGCACAGGGGTATTTTCTTTGAATGATACTCCAGTCAAGGATCACTTGTGGAGATGGCCTGGAACCCCTACACAGAGGTAGCCCATGGCAGTTCAGTGTCCAAGTGGGTTCCACAGTAATGGGAACAGGGACTGTCTCTGACAGGAACTGTTTGCCCTGCTCTTTGATCACCTCCCCTTGAGGCAGTTTAGACTTCTTATTCCACTTGTCCTTCCAACTTTTGATTATTGTTTAAAATTTTTAGTAAGCATAAAATCTCTCTTAATTTTACTGTAGCTGCGTGGTAACTGTTACACAGGGAAGCATTGTCCTGCATTTCAGACGAATTCTGTTGCTGCCGTCTTACCTCCGCCCCACCGCAGGCATCTTGCTAGGTCATTGCCAGTCCCGAGAGGCAGTATAGCAACGGGAGGGTGCTTGACCACATTGGCCTTTTCTGTGGACAAAGAAAATACCATTCTTAACCCACACAGACCAATATTGGCAAGAAAACAAAAAGACTTACATTAAATAAACAATTTTACTAGTATCTTTAAGCAGAAAAATGTTGCATTTTGTACACGCCATTACAAATTACACTGTTTTTTATGCTGTGTGGTAACTAAGGTATTAGATCATTTTTCAGGAAGTAATAGATTCTTCATAATCCATACAGGAGAAAAACCTTTTAAATATCTTGAGTTAATTTGAAATCATGCCTTGTGTGTATATGCATGAATATTTGTGGTGTGTGTGTGTTTGTGGGTAGGGTGTATTTGTCTGTGTTAGTGTGTCTGTGTGTCTTTGTGTGTGTGGGTTTGCCTCTGCTCTATCCTTATTAAAATCCTCACAGAGGCAGGTAAATAAAGCATAGAAGTATATGTCACCAGGGACAGAGGTTGGTTCCTATACGAATTTCTTTCACGACTCCAAGGACAATTTCTTTTACGTGGGAACAGTTGAATCCTGAAAGTGAATGAGTTGTTGAGAACACTGTCTACCGCTTGCCATACATAGCATTACAAGACCTCAAAGCAGACGAACAGAGAGCTCCTGTCGGTGACCTGAGAACGTCACACGCCTTTGCTAAGTTATTTATTTAGTTTTACCTTTATATCAACCACACAGTACTTTAGGTTCCAAACTATAGATCTGCCAGCTATTTTTTTTTTACTTGAATCATCATATAACTTGATGGAGTCTCACAAATACATATTTATTTGCCATTCTCTTCTAAGTTCATGAAGTCAGGGTGTGTGTGTGTGTATTTATGTGTACGTGGGTATATGTGTGCATAGTGTGCTTGTGTCTATCTCTATGTTCATGTTTACGGGCGTATGTATGTGTATGTTTGTGTATGTGTACGTGTATGTGAATGCATGCATGTATGTGTGGATTGTGTATGCATAGGTGTGTGTTTATATATGTATCTATGTGTGTATGTGTGTTCATATGTGTATGTGTATACATATTTGTGTATGTATGTATATGTGTTTGTATATATGTATAGTTATGTGTGTGTATGTGTGTGAATCAGTTAATGAAGTAACTTATGGATACAAATGCAATACTACGAACTTGAGGCATACAATGAGCCAAAACCTCCCATTGTCTTCACTTTAAAAACTCTATAAATGTTTAATCACATATGTATTTACTCGGTAATATTTGCAATTCTTGAATTTTAGTTTTGTTCATAGAAATGATTTATAACTATTTTATATCTATTAGAGTCCCAATATCAGAATTTTCGCTGACAGTTTTCGTAAACTACTGGTGGACTGGAATTTCTATATCAATAAGAAAACTCTTGATACAACATGTACTTTCTTTGTGTAGCTGCACATGGGCAACTGGGGGTGGGGAGCCCAGGCTGGGACTAATGACTGGCATTCCCACTATGACATTTTCAGTTGGAAATGTTTTCTAGTGCCTAACAAGACAGAATGTTCTGATCTTCATTTCTTTATAAGAAAAAAAAATTCTGTCAATTTATATAGACAGAACATAATTTGTTTGAATTAGAACTTATTTTGAAAATGACTGTACCTAACAAATGACTCAATTCAGAGACTAAAAATACTTTCAAATAAATATTTGTTTAAAATGTATTAGATTCCAAATACCAATTCATTATATCTTTTAAACTATTAATAAGTCCTAGCAAAAGGTACATCAGAAAAGAAAACACAAAAATTTCCAGAATTCATCAACTTCTAGATACTTCTAGACACGTAGCACACAAGAAGATTTATGGGTGGACAGAACAGGAGCAGAAGGTAAAGTTCCTAGTCTCATTCAAACCACATTAACCCAGGTCTCCTTACCTATGCAATCCAAAATCCAGCCCACGGTCCCATCTCCTCCGCACGCTAACACTCTGAAGTCAGGGACGTCACGGAAAAAGTGTAACCTGAAAAACAAGTAGTTCATGACACATGACTTACATTTTAGAAGAACATTTTTTTTTAATTCTGAGCTTTTTATGTAATAAATTGTATTTTTAACTTAAGAGAATTTTAAATAATCATTGTTATCTTACATATAATTCAAATATATTTCTGTAAATATATTTTCCATACTGTCTCCTTTAAAATGTTTAAATGAAAAAAAAAATTTAAATGATATATTCTAGGTTCTATAAAGAATACGATTTATTTCTGTAAACAGCCAAATTAAAATAGGTAATATTAAATTATAACATTCATTTTGACATCTGCCAGATGTAATCAAAACACACATAATCCAGCTAGCATATGCTGTATAATATCTTTAATAAGTTTTGTTAATCAGCCATTGTTTTGAAAATTATTTAGACATGATTACCAATTAGTCAATATAATACATTCAACACTTTTCTTTCTTTATTGCTCGCCCTGAAGTTAGGGTTCTAGCTTTTATAAAGTATAATTAAAAATAAAAAAATAATGGAAAAAAGTGAACAAATTATAATAAATAAAAAATAAATTAAATTAAACAACAACAAAATTAATTAAATTAACAACAAAGATTGGGAGTGGCAAAGGACTCAAGAGAAATGAAGAAAAGCACCATTTTTGAACATTCTATTTCATTTTAATAACTTCTATTACCTGATTTCCCCCGGTAGATTCTCTTGGGTTTATAGGCCTCTTAATGTACCATGGTGATGTTAAGCTTTTTAATAAGACTGATCTGACTTTGAAAAAAAAAAAAAAAGAACTTCCCTTCTGACTTTCAGTATGCCGACACAGAAGCCGGACTTCACCTTCTCATTTGACTAGGTGACCAGTATTTACTGCTGAGGCGTAATTGCTAGGTAAGAGGTGCTAAGTGCCCAGGCCTGCGGCTGCCACTGTGTGCAGTATGCTCATTAACCCAACCCGCCCGAAGAAAGTCACAGAGGCATCTAATACACCCAGCTGTGTGCTGTCCTACCTGCTATTTTGTAGCAAATAAAGAGTAGAAGAGCAGAAGGTGATCCCATACACCATCAGTGGAAACAATATGGCGTGAACAATCCGAGCAATTTTTCTGTACATTGATCCATTGATGTTCGTATAAGAATAACCACCTAGAGTGTGAGAAACACTTATAAACTTTGTGTTTCTCACACTCTAGAGTTACACTTTGGGTTTTTTTTATTTTTAAGTATAAGACATTTTTGAAAGGTAAAATTAAAAGTTTGGTGAGGTAAATGTATTTACATAGAAATGAATCCTAGTTACATTATTTACTATGACAGCATAATTTGACATTTTTAATTATTAGCCAAGCTAGAAAACTTGTTCTAACCAAAGCTCTATAAAAGAAAAACTATAGTCTTAAGGGAAATGAGTTTGAAATTTGAAAATGCCTGTTAACTATTCCATCTTTGTACACAATATAAAATACAAAAAAAAAAAAGAATAACCACCTAGAAAGCTCCATTATGCATTGCATATATTTTATTTACTTTAGAATTTTATTTGTTAGAAAGGGGAAGGGAGGAGAGAGAGACGGAGAGAGGGAGAGAACCTGTGTCTGTGGACAGCCTGAGAGGCTAGAATAGCTGGGGTTGCTGTTACAGTGAACAGTGTGCTGTGCATTCTAGGAACCAAACCTGGTCCCCGCAAAGGGCAGCAGGTACTTAAGTGGCTCTTGAATAACTGAACCAACTCTTCATCCTGACTGTGTTCATTGTAAACACGAATGAGACTGTACTATATGCATGTTTTTAAATCTTATTTTAAATATTTTAGCTTAAAACATTTCTGAAAAAAATTATCTATATAGCATGCAGGCGTTAGAGATTCTTTACAAATTTCTTTATTTATGAAAATCTTATGGATTGTATGTGGAATCATGTTGTTTGGTGGTTGTCACATGAGATATGAGTGAATGGATTCTAACATTAAATAATTTGCTTTTATGTCATCATTATAGGCTGAAGCAGTGGCTCGGTGAGAAAACTATTTTCTTGGCATATGTGTGTGCTGAGCTCAGCGCCAGGAACATAAATTGATGAGATCTGATAGACTAAAATCAGAAGGAAGGAGAGGAGGACCTCCCCTATCAGTGGGCTTGGGGAGGGGCATGCGTGAAGAAGGGGGAGGGAGGGTGGGATCGGGAGGGGAGGAGGGAGGGGCTTATGGGGGGATACAAAGTGAATAAAGTGTAATTAATAAAAATAAAAATCTTCCTTTTCATTATTATAAAAATTACTATTCTAGTTACTATCTGAATCACATTTGTGTGAAAAGGCGATTTTACAGGACAATATTCTGCTAATTTACTTCACCACTCCCAGAGCGGACTGAGAGTGTCGGGGGCATTGAGGCCCTTCAACAGGAAGTACGTTCTGTTGTAACATGGCTTCCGTGAGAATAAACACCATCTGGGTTCTCCCTCTCTCTCTCTCTCTCTCTCTGTGTGTGTGTGTGCGAGAGAGAGAGAGAGAGACCTTGTTCATGAACAGTACAATCCAAACCTTGATAATTTCTTCAATTTAGAGTCTGCTCATGTTACTTAGTAGACCTTTTACATATTTTCAATTTAAGCTAAAAGCCTTGAAATGTTTTTTTCAAAGCTAAACAAACAGTATACAATTATATTAGAAAATGCATAAAATTTAACTGAACCCACCATCTGGTAATGAAATCTATGGATATTTAACCTGAAAGTTTCATTCATTTTCTCTGATATCATGATGTGCATTTTTACCATCTCGTGTGCAAACTGCAAATATTTCCTTCCATTCTTGCACCACCTGATACACTTGTGTTTCCTACATGTGATAAATGCCTATGTACCAATCTCCCGCTTTAGCTGAGCATCCCTAACAACCTGCATACTCTCTTGTCCATCTCCTCGTGCACTCAGATTAGAACATGTGAAATACTTGGATGCCATGTGAATGCTTTATTCAGCATTCTGCACCATCGAGATCTAGACCTTTCTATGCACAACTGTTAGTTTTTTTTATATGTACTACTGAGTGAATTTCCAATTATGTGAATATGCTTTTCAAATCCATTTCAATAGGCACTTGGGCTGGTAGAGTCTTGTTGGTATAAAGATGTTTTTCATATGTGCTTCCTATTATTACAAGCAGTGTTGACTTGGTGAATATAATAGTTTGTAACACTGAGAGAAAATGCAATTGATTTCTGAAAGACATTGCACGAAATCAAAGAAATGTATGCATCCAGGATGTATATTCTCTCTAATAATTTGTATCTTTATTTTTCAACTTAAAAAAATTGATCAACTTTCTATTTCTTAATTCTTGTGGATTGGTAAAATTTCTTAATTGTCTTGATTTTAGTCATTTAGTTTGCATTTTTCAGAAATCCTTTATGATTTAAACATTCTTTTTTTAAAATTGAATACCTTTTGGTATGGGTTTCAAAGAATATAAATTTAATTACAATGTGTTCAAATTTATAAACCTCTTGATCAATAGGACCTATGTAAGTGAAGTTTCCCTACTTGAGGTTGAAAAAAAAAAGGAATTCACACATTGTGCTCCTAAAATTTCACTAGCACCTTTTAGGATAGTTAAAATGCTTATTTTCAGCCCTCTTGCCTTCCTCTTCCTCTTCTTCCCTCTTTACCTTCCCTTCTTTCTCTCCTATCTTCTACTTTTGCTGTAGTCTTGCAATCTTTTCTATTTATTTGTATTCACTTTTTACATTTATTAAATAACCCAGTTTCCACCCAGAATAAAAATATCAGATATTACATATATTTTGTGTTTGTTTGGATATTGATTTTTTTTGCATTTTAAAGAGATTTAAAATTATGTCTGCTGATTCTAATATTACTGGTTACAGGAAAATCTTACCTATTACATATTGATTGAAGAATAGTTATATTACTATTTTTCCTATACTTTGTTTGTTTATTTATTTAGATTTTTGTACATATAGCTGTGCTACATGCTAATTAAAAAAGCATTAATAATTTCAATTTTATAATAGGTCTGTTTCTCCATTTTATTTTCTTTGCTAGAATTACAATATTTAGTCAAATGTAAGTATTCATATAGGCTAAACTTATTTTGTTCTTTGGTCTTAAATGGAATAATTTTAGCACATATTCAATGATATTTGTTACTTTTTTGTTTTATATTCGGTCAGCATTCTTGACTCTAGAAGGTCAAAGTTAGTCTGCTTCTGTAACGGTGTTCTTTGGATATGCTGACATGATTTCTCTAGTTGAATGGTTAGTATGAAAATGTACATTCACATATGCCTGTATTATGAAAACATCTTGTAATCCTTTCCTTCATCCTACTGGCAACTGAGCACTTACAAGTCTATATAGAATAATATTTGGTTTGCTAACTCCTGCAACTACATTAAGGGTCAAAATAGACCTAATTTTTCACCTCCTTATTAATTAAAAGTTTTACCAGATTTATATTGGTAAATTAAATGGAAGTCTTAGGATACACAATAACTTCTTTCACTTTTGAACATGTGTATATAATTTTGCAAGTTTCCTAGATCTGGTAACATTTGGATAAAAACACCAATTTCTGGTGTTTCCTTTTAAATAAAGTGTTCAACATAAAGCTTAAACTCCTTTAGCGATTATTGAAATATTATTAAAGATAAATAGTATTATTGAATATGTGCTTTATAATTCTTCCCAAATCAGCCTTTTCCAAGATCAATTCTGTAGCAGGTCATGGCCCTCATGTACGTTTCTGAACACTTCGGCATTGGAGGCTGAGGGGCTTTCAGAGCACACCAGCGGAAGCAGACTGCCATGATATTCTAACTATCCAAACTCACCACGTTTCTTCTAGACCATGGTGCCGCGTCATCTGTAATTCAGGCTTGTTCTCTTTTAAAACTGTCATCCTTGGTTCCTAGCAGTGTCCTACCCCCAAACATGAATCCCATGTAACTGTCATGTCAGTTTACCCTCTGTAAGTGCACTAAAGGG